TTACTCAAAATCAGCCGTGTCTGTGTGGGGGAGGGAGCTACGCAGCTGAGCACGGGGGGGGGACATTTACGTTCCTGGCTTCTCTTGTAACAAAAGATCACAGATCAGTGTACACCTACTGCTGGAGGTGGGACTTGGTAACAATGGACGGTGGAAAAGAGCTGAGATTCGTTTGCCTGCCATCCCTTCGGTAAGACAGATTAACTCAGGTTGGCCAGGGTATGCTGATTATTTTCCCGTACCTCCATCTGGGCACAGCAATTAGCGCCTTTTAAGTTCCTTCCTTCTCTGCCGCGTTACTAGGCGGCAGTTCTCCTTTCACGGTGGTCTGCGATGGCCTTCATGGGAAATATTTTCTTTACGGAGAATTTTCCTGACATCTCATACCTGTACCGAAATTCTGCCTGTTGGCTTAACAACGCTATTCAGCACTGAATTGCCTACGGAAGGATACTAATATTGCTATTCTAAGGAGTGACAAAGAAAACAGGATTATGCTCCTGGGCAAGAGAGTCTATTTAAGGAAGATGCAATATGTATTAAATGACTCCAGCAGGACTTTTCACGAAGCCACTGCTAAGGGGGAAATAAAACGGTGAGGGTTTTTATCAGAAATAAGGTAGTAGCTGTTCTGGAAAACGAATTGATAGACGAGAGAACGGCCACTTAGACAAAGCACGTACATCCTTATATCCGTAGATTATATGGGTTTGCCGGAAATCTATAAAACTGTTCCGTCTCTGCAGCCTATTCTGTTTATAGTAAAGTCTGGGGGAACATATTTAAGCGACGGTTGATCAGGGAAATCGAACAGATTCCTCTTTACCTTGCCACACAAGCGGTGAAAGACACCCCAGCGATGATCGCGAGAGCTACCAATTATAGTACACACGCGGTCTCACGTCAGCCAGGTACTATGAATACTGCACCCCTTGTGCTTCCACTAACCTTATCTGCGACTGTCTCTGATGATGACTTCGAATGAGAATCCAAAGCTCCAGGACAAATAATCTTGTTCCAGTGATCGCATTTTCTCCTTCTTCTCCTGAATTGCTTCCTGGAACCTGGCTTCTCGCTGCTATCGACTAAAGACATTTCGCTTATGCATGTTAACTCAGGCTGTATCTAGTTGCGGATTCAAATTCGTTGGACGCATGCAGAGAGTGCCGGCGACGCGGTCGGCCAAACGTGAGGGAATCAAGGTGCCAATAAGTCCAGTCACAAGGCACATTTTAAGAATTGGACACACTAGGGATTCGGGGTTCTACTGCGCAAGGACAGTCCGTAACATACATTGCTCTGAGATTACGGCAGTTAAAGGAGAACCAGGCCTGGATCACATGATTATCTGTGCCCTGAGACAGCATTCACAGTGTAAGCGTTCGTGACTAACAAGTTATTATCAAAAGAGGAAAATAATTTCATTGATATTTTGGCAGATTTTGAATAATTCACATTGACCCAACTGTGAAAAATTCGGCGCCTCGGTGGGATTCGAAGCCACAGTTGGGTCAATGTGAAAATAATTTCCTCGGATTTATTGCGCTACTCATGTATGTTGTTGCCGCTCGAAGGATCAGGGCCTCTTCTGTTCATCTTATTATTATTATTATCCATTGTCTGTTGCTACATCACTGCCAGCGCCGATTCGGGTTCCCACTGCTGAACCTGCTTCGTCTCGGGGCCCCTTTGACCTCGTTTACCCTACTACAATTTTTATGGCAGTTAGTCCGGTCGATCGTGTGAAAATGGTCTAGTGAGGATAGGAAGATTTAACAGTTAAGGAGGGAGTTTTCTATGGCGATGCCTGGCTACTCAAGACGGGAGTGCTCTGCACCGCTCAGTCCCAGTGAGGTGGTGCTCCAAAACCACGCATTCCGGGGGCGGCTCGATATGACGTCTGAACGAGCACATAACCAGAACTTGCAGGTGATGGTACACATTGCTCAGACCAGTCACAATCTTCACCTCAGTACGGTAAAGATCGCGTGACAGGGTGTTAAAAACCAGTAAGGTGGTCGAGCGAGACATGACTGTCGAACGTGCGCCTAGCTGATCGCTACAATGACTTGCCCTCCTATACGCGACTGTTCCCAACCATATGACTAGCTGCAGCAGGCAAGTCGGTAAGTCTTGTTGTCGACAAAGAGGCCATTTGGATACGACGTCCATACCGGAAACGGCGATGTATGACTCGTGCAGGCCTCATAAACCCAGCTAGGAAACGTGACATCCATGGTCATGTGCGTAGCCGCGTTCCTTATAGTTTGGACTTTGTGCCTGACTCGCTATTCTCTGCTACCACAGGAATGAACTAAATCTAGGAACCTGAAGTTCAACTCATGCTCCTGTGATCGTCTTTTCCTCTTCGGTTATGTTACCTTTAATTTGTATTTCCAATAGTTCCGGAATATCTTGGGCACAAACCCAAATGTCAGACTGTCCGTGGGCAATTCTCTCCTCCCATAAAAACTTTTTTCTTTGACATTACGCCAGATTCGATTTCCAAGATTGGTCCTGTAGAGACTTTACGAAGGCCAAGACGCCATAAGACTGAATATAGAGGCTGTCTAACTTGAAAGTAAGTAGGAACCAAATGATAAGCAATACCATAATTGTGCACCTGCCCATCTATGTAGTCCATTGTCTTCATATGAGATAACTCTGTTTAGGCGCCCGTCTAGCTCCTGTAGGGCGTAGGCGAAGACTAACTCTTTCGTCCAAGGTTGTTAGCATTAGAAATTTAGGCAAGATGACCGAGCACGTAAGGCCCGCTATCTCCGCGACCAGTTTGTGCAAAATGGCTACCCGAGGGCATTCATAAGTCACTGCCTACGCGGTCGCCACCAGTGAACTCGAACATCAACTCCACCGACGATATGGCATTCTCTGCCATACATCAAGGACGTTTCAGAAGCGACTGAGCGCATTGCTGAGGAGTTAGGTGTTGGAATTGCACACCGCCCCAAAGCCACCATGCGCAATAGGGTCATGAAAATCAAAGACCGGTTAAAACCTGATGAGCAATCTGGAGTAGTGTATCGCATTCCGTGTCAAAATTGTCCTTGTAATCACACAGGACAGACTGGGCGCATGCTCGGATCGCGCATACACGAACATAAGCTGGCTGTGCGACGAGGCGACGCATTATCACAAGTGGCCGCGCACACCTACGAAATGGGTCATGAGTCGAACTTAGCACACGCCGGAAACAAAACAGGCAGAAAATGGATTGGAGTCTGGGCTTCGGATGAGAACTCAGTCAATCGATCTATCGATCTGGCGCCGGAGTACAGAGCCCTGCGCAGCCATCTCCAGTCTAGCGCCATCGATCGATGACTGGCTGACAAGCCCCATAACTACCGCTTGTTCTGTTGTTGCTACTGTTGCTGAGGGCGGACTCTTGCGCGAGTTCGAAAGCTCAGAACGATAAACAGAATGTTTCGGACCCCGACCACCCTTCTTCTTCACTCGGACAAATGTTTCTGTCGATTTCGAGAGCCAGACACGTCGAGGTCTTGTAAAGGTTAGAAGGCACGTGCAGACCAAATCTTCAATGCAGGATTTAATAACAATAACAAAGATAAGTTAAATCGTAAATAAGACTGTGGCGCAGGAACAAGCTTACAGCCGTGCATCTGTGCATGAAGTGAAATATTGAAGACCACAAAATAAGTTAATTCAGTCAGTACATTAGTGAGTTCATAGAGCGAAAGTCAAGTCACAGCCCAGAAAAAGGAGCATCGAAGGTCATGAAAAGACAGGCAACGGCAACAATTTGGACTGCCATATCGATTGGTTGATCCAGTCCACTGTGATCGGAGTTTGTTTGAGATTCTAAGGCAGAAAAACAGTAGCGTGAGATAAAAGAATAGCGAGCCAGCAAACAATCGCTCACTTTTTGAGAGACTTTTTCAACTCGTTCAGTTAATGTAAAGGGAAGCCCTCTCTGTGGATCAGCTTTGGCAAGAAGTAACGTGTCGAGTAATCTTCGATAAACGAAAAAATCACCTGTGGAAGCTGCTGGCCATCCGCTACGATGACATGTGTACAGGGTTTGTCGGTGGAGTCGCTGTCTTCAGACAATGAGAGTGTGGCGCCACAGGCTATTAACCTGCGGCGAAGCATGTTAAACTCCGGCTGGCTGGATACCTCTAGGGACACGGAGATGGCAAACCCCTCAAAAATGGAGCGAAGATGGTTGAACGTCATTTCAGTTGGCGGAGGTATACGTTTCAGAAGGGGCTTCTAAATGGGTGGAGCAAAACATCACGGAAGTGAATTCAGTACAAAGAATCTTACCCTAGGATTGACAATTTTATCTAACATCAGGAGGTGGCAAAACCTGCCTTGCGCGGGGTAGGGTCGGTGGAGTTGGAGGAGGCTGGACGTTTGCCGGTTTTCGGCAGAGAGAGACTGTCAAGCTTCTCAATCCAATCAGAGAACGAGGCAGAGGTCTGCATCAAGGCCTCTAGACGCACCACATCGGTAGCCTCTTTCCATGATTTGTCGGCGCGAAGCTTGGTGACCCGGGGAAAACGAATGGAAATTCCTTTTGCACCGGTATCGTCAGCCCCAGCGGTGTGATCTCCAGCTCGAGTGAACTCTGTTCCGGTGATTTCCCAGACCTGGGATTGCTATAGTAGAATGGAGACAGAAGGGTGAAGGACTCAAGCACTGCACTCCCACTGAAACATTCAGAGCAAAAGTGAGTCAAGGTGCATTCTGTATCGCTCAGGAGAAACTATATTTAAAGGAGCCATAAAGGCAGTTATGAAACAAAAAGAGAACTCAAGAAGTGAAGCAATTGGCTAGACAAAATGACGGTTTTAAGTAGGAACAGAGGATCTGGGTAAGCCCGGGATGCTTGCGTCACTTGTTGAAAGTCGGATAGTGAGTCAGGCCATCTCAAGGTCACATGACAGCGGAGGGCACCGATGCCTCCTGTTTGGGAAGCAGAATGCCAAAGACCCGGTTTTATCTTACAGCCGAGGACCGATAGTCTACGTAGGTGGTGGCATAGCGAAGACGGCTAATAAGCCAAAATGACCTTTCCAACGTTCCTGTCTTTGTCGATAACACCTCGCCCTCATCGTACTGCCCAAAAGTAAATACATTTCCACGCGAACTTGTGGGTGGCACAGGAGCAACACTGTTTTCTTGGGAGATGCGGTAACGATCTCTAAAGCCTGGTAGTCGAATTCCTCAGGCTTGAAACGGTGACACCGTATGCGGCGTGAATTTCCAACTTCAAATACATCACCTTAATAAAGTACCTTATTTGTTAGAAATGTCGGACCGCGTCAAATTCCAATCAAGCCGAGCTCAATACCGAAAAAATAAGCGGGTTTGGTGTAAGTAAGGCTGTTTCGGTGCTACGAATCAGCTCAAACCTCCTGACCCCACTGAAGATGAAGAGTAGGCGAAGCTGACAAACCGCTAAGAACTGAAGAGGAGATAGGCCAAAACAGTTATGTCAGAAATTAGTGGTGTACAGCATTGTAGGGGGCAATGGCATGGACGAATGCACTGACCTTGGGATCAGCAACGACAAAGTCCGGTACCAGAGATCGCGAGACATTCAACCAGCGGGGTACTTTGTAATAATCCTAAAGGTTAAAGTAGTAGGGATGCAAAAAATATGCAAACAAACTTTAGATATTTTGATCATTTTGAATTCTTTTTGTAGCCTGAGCAAAGTTCTGTCGTCGAGACCGTTTCCGCATTTGGTGACTGTGCAGAACTGTCCACTGTTCGGATCGTAGGCACCCATAAGGAAGACCGACATCAGACCACCTGCAAAAAGAGAGTTTTCCAGACAACAATCGGTGAGCAAGGCTTCTGATTAGAACCGAACAGCCCAGGTGAGAGAGGGGAACAGAACTACGCAGTAAAAGTTGCGGAAAATACCTACTGGTGTGAGGAGGGGAAAATATTTCCTGGAACAGCAAATAAACTAAATACAATTCACATTAGAGATCATTTTTGTCAACAAACGATAGGCCAGTTCTGGTTTATTTAAGACCTCGAACTTGCAGCCTGATGTTCGGCAGTACTGGCAACTAAACTAAAAAAGGTCACTCCGAAGGCATGTCCTCGTCGGCAAAACTTCTTAATTATTCATTGCTGGTCGCCAGGTGACCGTCTGTGCAGGCTGTGGGCCCCAGCTGCCAGGCAGAACAGAAATACACAGTTCCGTCTTAGTGCTAAGATGACCTGGAGCACGCCAGTCCCGAATGACCTAATATTGACGTTTCGAGGTCGTAATTTAGCACGATAATCAACCTGTCGGACCCGTAATTCAGTCATGGTGTGAGCACAAAAGGCCTATATGAACTGGAAAGAACACGGTTAAATAAAAGCATGATGAACACGAGAGCTAGCATGTATCCTTGAGCTATGCTGTTTGCACACAGCGGGACTACGCAGGCTTTTCTGCATTCGAAAAGGTAGACAAATTAGCCGTGGCAGGGATGCGTGAAAATGAAGGGACACGCAGCCTTGTCAAGATTTCCCAGAACGCTTGTTTACTGACCGTATTAAAATTCCTGATCACGTCTTCGCAGACCTGCGACATGCATCAAAGCGCATAAACATTGACCAAAACCTATCTATATGATCCCAAAACGGAAAAGCTTGCTCATGTGGTATCGTGAAACCTATAACTAGGGAAGATAAACGCGAGTCAATTCTTATAGAGCGGCAGACGGGCTTACGATAGAGGGTATGTTCAGTTATCAGCTAAATTATGGCCCGACCAAAAGAACCTACCTAAATGGCCTGCACTATGCATTTTTTTCGATTCCCGCAGATGCTGAACTCCAGTCAAGGAGGTTAATTGCGTCAGACAGTTATTCGGGCCAAAAGTCGGGGCATAAAGCAGATTTAATGCATCATGGAACATTTATTCCAAATTTTAGTAACACCACTCCGATAAATCGGGCCGGTGATTGCTCCCGGTCAGAATTTCGGGAGACAGAACTGAAAGGATGACAAGCATATTGGCTGCCCGTCGGAATTTAGCTAAGGGGTCTGTGCAGGGCTGTAGCAGGCACGTCTCACAGAAACGACCGAAGGACTGAAATGACTTTCGGCAGGAATCCAGGACGGGATCGGTGTAATCGAATGTCAGTGAAAAATTGTGCCTCTGTTCTATTTGCAGACAGTTTGTGATCATGGGAGTTTTGAAGACAGGGATGATTATTTCTGTGTTCCAGGTTTACTAATTATACCGAATAGCTCAACTATGTATAGCGGCACTTTGAGTACCAGGAGGGCAAATCATAGGCAAATGAACAGTTAATCGAACATACCCTATAGAAAAGATTTAGCATGGTGTTTCGCAAGTTACCGTCTAAGGGAAAACGCTAACTGCCTAAAAATATACAGTAATTAGTAAACTGCTTAGACTGAATTTGTCATTCTCTAGGAAAAAAATTAAGCAGCAGTCATTTTGATGCTACAAAGTTGAGGAAATAGCGAACGTCATGATTGCCCGTAGTCCGAAACATCAAATAACTGCCAGTTACGCAATCGGTAAACATTTTTCAAGACCTAAATAACCCCTTTACCCAAACATACAATTCAAAGAAGACGCAATTCTAACAAAATGAGCTCTGGGTGACCGGAGCTCTTTCCGAAATCTGATTTACGCCGGTGACTCGAATGGTACATGATCAAAGGCCAGAATGCTCCTGCTATGAATTAATTCGAGATAATGACCCATACTCATTAGTATCTAAATCTCACTGACGCAGTATTTTGCGTATAACAGGCCAGGATGCCGTAGGAGTGGGAAATGTTATAAGGGCTGTATTAAGGAGACCCAGACTGCAAAACCACTAGTAATGTGTAAGAACACCATTCCAGACGGACGACGGTGGTAACTGGGCTAGAAAGGTGCCGATCCAAAATTGATCCAACGTTGCATGTCAGCACTAAAACAAATGGTTAGGAGTTGGGACATGCCGAACGCAGGATGAGGGCAACACGTCGGGTAGTGCGTCAACCCAAAATCGTAACACCACTCCACCAAATAGATAACGATGGTGGCCGGGAGAAGATGCGTCGGTCTAAAATGTGCTTGCCTTAACATTGAAAGCATTGGGACGCTTCTAGGTTGGGAAGAATGGCACGTCGTAAAGAGGATGCTTGTGATTGAAATGTTGCGTGTAGGGACTCCGACCCAAAAGCGCAAAGACGGTGAGCCTCATTAATCCAACCTACCGAATCGAAAATAGTAGCAACAATACAAGTCCGAATTTCTCATTGTTTTAAACACCTACCGACCGTGAGATTTAGGAGCGCCAGGCGCCCCTTTTCCTCGCTAGATTTTCAAAATAATTATGTGCAAGGTTCCGGAATCGATTTGGCCCGCCGGAAAGAAATTTCAGCCCTTTCAAGAGCTCTGCCGCAGTTTGTCCGAGTGCTGACCTCATCTTATCCAAATTGGGCTTCGGACGAATCCGTTAGGTTGCAGTCCAATATGCAATAAGGCGTCCGTTGAGGTTTCTGATACAACCCTCCTATGCCCCAAAAAAGACAAGGCTCGCTGATGCCGCAGTTGCATTAAACCCCTTGCGATGTCTTTCGTATCGATCTGGAGTTGGACTTACACCCTCCTCTCTCTCTTTTCCTATCCATTCGGTGTGCATTCTACGGGGGAAGATATTATCTAATTCCAAAGCTGCTTGAAGTGTCATTGACATCTCGCCCGCGAAGACATTTCGCAAGTTTTCTATAGGGGAGGGCACTCACCCTTATTGCCAGTCCCAAAGTAGGCGCCAAGGACGATGAGATCAGCTGAATCTGCCATAGAGCCCTCACCAAGATAGTCCTTCTTGATTTTCATCCAGTGGCGTTTGCCGGGCTCGTAAACACTCTAAATGGGCATGTGGAAAAATGGTCGTCAGGTCACGGCACGCCGAAAGCACCAAACAGAAGTAAATGCAGCACACTCTTACGTCAAGTGGTTTGAGAACCAGGCCCTCAAGGCCCTCAGAGAAGACATGGGCCATCAGCGTGTTCAGGTCGTCTTTTGTCTGTGAAACGAGGTAGAAACGGGTAGAATTAGGTAGCAAGATCGAAGGTTGCAGCCCCACGTTCGACCACTTTACACTGCAAAAGTTAACGGGATGAAGGAGGAGGATGTTTCTTGAGGTTGCTAACCAAAACAGCCCCATCTGCCAACCACGACCGGCGTGGAAACTAAACCCAGTCACAGTTCAAGCGACCCAGTGCATACATTAATGGCGGGCCATCGGCAGCAGGAAATACCTTCATGTGGAGTTCTGGATTCGTGAGCTGTCGCAGAGGCTGCAAATGAAATAGGATACGAGGCAAATGAAGTCGGCCCTGAGAAAGAATTCCGACAACGGCGAAGCATGGAACTAGCTCGGGAGAAGCAGGCCCAAATGTAAAACTGGCAATGGAGCATCATAAGAGTCTGCCGATTTTACTGTCAGACAAAACCTTTTTCGAGGCAAATAAAATTTAGCAACTAACGGACTACAGACGGGGCTAATTAATGTTATGACTGGATACTGAAAGTCAAGGATCCGAGTCCGGATCTGAGTGATGCACCTGATATACTGCAAAGTTTGGCATACTAGACGCAAATATGGTTGAAATTTCGGAGAAATCCTGCTCAAAACATCAGATAGGGCAGTGGTGGTGCTTTAGTCAAGCAAGGAATAAATCTTCAAATCATTGCTTAAGGTCGCGACGAGAACGGCGGACTTCTGAAACTAAACAACTGCTTCTCCCTCTCTAGTTACCAATGGAAATCCGTCTTACCACAAGAAACTGACTGTTTAGGCAGCTGAGACCGAATTTCCACCCGTGTGTACTCGTACTACTTAATGAGGACGTCAATAGACATCGCTTTCCCCCTCTGAAGACAAAGAAGAGTGTTCGACTTGCCCGTTGGGCTCAATCATGACGAAATCCGCACTGTTCACCTGCGAACGATGATGCTGATGTCTTCCATTGAAAACTTATATATTTCGAAATATAGGCGTATATTTACCCCGTGCTACATCCAGATTCTGTTTACTCCTACACCCAAGGTCCACCCTTCCGTTACTGAACAGTAAACATTTTGAGAATGGTGGGAAAATAATGACCGAGGTCTAGTCATCCAGATGGCTCTGCGTGCCAGATCGTGGAAAACAGAAGCACACAACTTGGAAATAAAGGCAAGCTCTTGAGGAATAAAGCTCTCGCGGAAGGAGCCGTATCTCAGTTAGGAAGACGGATAAGTAACCACTTCAGAGATTCTCCCGTAAAGGCTATGTTCGGCATGCTTTGTAGTCAACTAGGAAGGAAATATCAAGGCCCATAACTGGATACCTGAAGTCATCTGGAGCGAAATCAAGGGGGGGGGGACGTTTTCGTTCGCTAGCAGCTCTCCCCTGCCGTTTGCGTTCTTTTTCTTCCCTGCGCCAGATTCAATAAACGGAGCTAAACATGCAGTAAGCCGTGTAGGTATCCGCAGCATACGATTTTGCAGCCAGCAAACCGTTCGGGAATCGGCAATAATAAAGATCGATCGGGTCACAACTGTCGTCGGCTGCACATTCCTTTATTTGCTAATGAGGTCGTTGTTTTACTGGTTTGACAAAAGGAGACAGTTTAACTGCGTCTGGACACTGAAGGGCCCAAGTGTGCAATGATTTCCATGGTTAAGTGGAAACATCACTAGAGACGAGGCCCGGATCGACCCACACATTTTAGTAGCCATGGAAGGGGTGAATGAGATAGAAGGAAAGGATTCCCTATGACCCAACTGTGAAAAGGTAACACCACAATAACCGCGGATGCACAGCAAGGGGCACAAAATGTAGACTAAGATGAGAGTGGACGCCCTAAGAAGGGTGAGAGAAGGTTGTACTTTAGGCTACGCCGACCGTCTAAAAGTTTGTCACAGACCACAAGTAAAAAAACAGGATTCTGCCATTGGCGATTGAGCTGCTGACCGGTCTAAAGGGGGTGACAAAGGCTAACATGGAAACTGCTGCAACGAACTGCCAAAATAATCACGTTAGCTAGGAGTAGGGTTTCTTTTAATAAGTGACTGGTACCGATGAGGCAAAACCAGAAAACGGTCAGAGGACACTCACCGAAACATCATGTTTTTCAGACAGTAGTATGCGGTCCGGAACAACTGTCATGTTGGCTTCCAAGATTTCGCGCCGCTTGCGGATGGGTCTGTAGCGACAGCACAATAAATGACGCAATCACATTTCGACTATAGGACATGTGCTACAGCTACTGGGGAGGCAAACATTAGATAGACGAAAGGTACATCAGCAGGATAGAAAGTTTGGCAAACTAAAGACCTTCGGGCGACAGTACAAGGTTTCTAAAAATAATTAACAGCCTCAGGCAATCAGAAAATGCACAATATAAGGCAAAACGCTGTGCAAAAGCATTGCAAGAAGGAGGAGCTTAGAAAATGCCAAGAGGCTGATTATTTAGAATAATTTATAAGAGTAGGGCCAGTGAGATCAAGCATGTCATCTGCCGATCTTTGCCATCGCCTGGATGCTGGTTCACTTCCCCAGCGAAGTTAAGAAGAAATTTTATCTCTCATTTTTTTACTTGCGAAAATGCACGGGAAATCTGGTTTGTAGAGTCTTTGTTCCCTTAGTATCAATAACTGCTGGACACGAAAAAAGGCATGCCCTCTTTTTCGCCTGACTACTGGTCACGCGGCATGGCCAACAGTGGCTTAATAATTACAAACTGGTCAACAAGGCAGCAAGCTCACTCGTTGAGGAGACTCCTTCCATTGAAGTAAAGGCAGTCGAAAACGAAAAGGCACACGGTGGCATCCTTGAAAGCAGTTCGCTGGAAAAGCACAGAAATTCGTTATAAATTGAATGTATAGTGAGGGTTAGACTCTTAAACACTTGCTCGAAAGTAACAAGCTAAACAGAATGTCTGCCTCAAGCATTTAAATTACTCCCCTTCTTACGCGTAGGAAATGTTTGGCAAAAGTGATTTTTACGTTCCCGACCGCCCTAGCCACTCGTACTTGCGAAATGTGACTGAGCCACGAGACCCCAATGGAAAAATGGGCTTCAGTAAAAGGCGTTTCAAGGGGATAGTTACGGTGTAGTTCAGGACTCCAGACACAAGCGACTGTAGGCCGGTTATTCTCTCTTAGGACGATGCTAGGCTTCGGTATATGCAAAGACGTGTCTTTGCATATACTCAACCCACGGCCAACGGGTAGCAGTTCTCAGCTTCGTTCGACACACAAAAACGATGGAGGCGCAGGGGAGTTGTCAATAATCCGGACGAAATAAGAAAGGCAAACCGACGGGATGAAAGTAACTGCACTCAGAAAGTACTTGAAATTCAGGAGGCTAGTAAAACTCGCGACGGAGACCGGCCGATATGACGGGGAGGAGTAACTCGAGTCACAAAATGCATCGTTGAAAGTGCAACTATGTTTACCAAAGCCACAAGCATGGGTAGTGGGTAGAAGGGAAATGCGAAGATAACTCACTTTATGAACGCCCAGTGTGCCGAACGGCAGTGGTTTTTTTGTTTGCGTGTCTAAAAGTAGCACTTCGGAATCGATAATTAGATCGTTGGCTGATGGAAAGGCCACTGGAAGGAATTCCTTCAGGTGCTTGACCTACAATACGACGAAGTTAAATGGGTTGTAGCAAGTAAGAACAAACCGGCAGCTCGTATTGCAAGAAAAGCGGGTCAAAGCTAACACGAGCCTAGTTTCCATTCGATATGTAAAAATATCTCCTTAAAAGTGTCTTCAAGCACATTAGATACGCACCTTGTGTGTGGGAACGGGTTTGAGGCTGCGTGAAAAGTAGGCAAAATGAGTTCCTTTCTTGTGCACCTGAATGCGCTCACCATCGTATTTGATTTCGACAAGAAGGCCGCCTCCCTTATGACCCTTCTGTAGGACGATCTCCGCAGAACGACACGGTTCGGCGAGCATGGGCAGCACCGGGGTCATGAGTTTTATGCTAATAGACAAGGGGCGAGAGAGCTTAGGCCTTCCGCCCGAAGAAGTTGACGCTCTGTTGGGAAAACTTCTTTCCTTTAATTTTTTCACCACCAACTCCAGGTCCCGTGATGCCTGGAACGCTTCATAAGCCTTTGGGTCGAGACCACAGAGACTGAAATGGAAGGGAGAACATGAGTTAGGTTTTGGGTGTGTTTCCTGCACGGTTCAGTTTCTCCAGACATAAATAAGATGTTTGGTCTCTAGAGGAAAAAAAGTATACAGACTAAATTATCAGCAAAAGGGGACAAGTAAGCTACTGTGATATCGGTCTTTCGAGTGGAGGGGGTGCGTCTGTTGGTCTGATTACCGGGTCATCTAGGGATGGTAGATAGTGGAGTGACCGTCAAGGAGAACTAGCTGTGAGATAAGCAGACTCGTGTCCAGTGGATAGATTGTCGCGTACCATCCCCAGCAATTCCATCAAGATGAGAAGAACTGGGGTCTGACAAACCGGCTATCATACGAAATTCTGACGGTGCCAATTGTTACGCACGGGTTAACATGGTGCCGCAATCGCCCAGAGCAATCACAGTAAAGCTTCAGATAGGCACTTGGAAGTGATGACAGTCCGGAAGTCTGGGAGACTGTAGTTAACGTCAGAAGTGATGTTTAACACTTGAGGAGACTTCTCGTGACGAACTGTAGATAAAAGATGGACTATTCCCAATGTGTTAAGTTCCTGGGGTTTCAAGGACCGAAATGTCGAAATGGGGAAACATGGCGTATTTGCAGAGCGATAACTTGGCTAGTATGCAGTAGAAAGCCGTCTATTAAATACTGCTTGACTGAACTGACTTGTCCTTAAAGATATATTTTTTCGACAATCCAAAGGACCTATGTATAGTCAATTAGCACTCAAATGACGGCGATAACCAAAAGCACACGAACAACATACTCACTCGAACAGGCTGGAAAAGTTTAATACTCGACCCTCATGTAATGCCCCCTGTTGGAATCATCGGCGAGGGCGTCTCAGGTCACGGTATTGGAGGTTCAACTACAACTATGACATTATCCAGCCGAAGCAGTGTGATCGAAATGGATGTAAGTCTGGCTATTTCAAGGACCACCTCCCTTTCATGGGCTTCATTATGGCTGCTACCAAGCATTTCATCGCACTGACGACCGTTGTGTCTCTGAATCCTTCAGACGGAAAGGAACAGCTCCAAAGATTAGAACGTAATGGCTCAAGTGTTAATCTAACAATTGCAAGGGCTGATAGTGTGGGGATTTCTCACCCTCGCGACCACGCCAACTTCAAAAACTTACGGTCTGATACTACAGGCATAGCACGGCGGTCCGAAGTAAATTATGCAGCAAGACTATCCGAGAGATCTCGGACACGTTTCAGATAACAAAGGTGATAGGTGAGTTCAGACGTTTTTGAGGCTGACTCGAACTGTAATCGATCTACTTCTGTAATCAGGGACAACCATAATGCAGCGCTTGGTCCCCTAAACGTTCCGGCATTCTGGCACAGCAGCGACTGTAGCCTACCATTTACCCCTGGGAAGCAAATCATATGGCGATGGCTGTCTTCTAGTGGAAATCTACGGACTTCGCTGGGTATTATTAGCAGTTCGATTACGCGGCCTGCAGATCAAGATTGAGGATACTGAATTTGTGCCTGTTGACAAGAGGGACGTCATCGGCAGGTCAATTTCAAGAAAAAAAACGTATGTGCAAGAACTGTCGTGACATGTGTCTTCGTGGTATTGTTGCTAAGGTTTCCACGGTCGTGCTCATGCGTTTCAGGTTGTACCCTTGCGTGCAGCCAAGAGGGATACCATTCGACTTTTAGGCCGAGACGGCAATGTGGTGATCAGCACTTTCTCTCTGTTGAATATTCGAATACTTAGGATAATATTGAGCAGTCAGTTCATGAAGGCGACGGTTTCAACATTCCGAACGCGTCTCCAATGAACGGAAGTAGTCGGTAAGGAGCAGAACCATTCAGCTGTGTCTTCTCTCTTCACCAACGGTAACGACTTGGTTATATGCATAGTGGTGGATAATTTATGACCTGAGTGCACGTGGTCAACACCAACCAACGATGCAGGTCCGGGCTCGTAGTTTTTCGTCTGTGCGCCTAGTGTGTCTAATGGTTCTGGTTCACTAAGAAGCTTTCCAAAGCCCAATCGAAAGGGAAAGGCAGTCATTCGTAGGGCCACATGAACCAAAAAAAGTAATTATGAATGCCACCGAAAGCACAAGGGAGTGGGTATGCTGCAACTGTTCGGAAAATTTAGATTCCCAGTATCTGTAGGTAGTGGATGTGAACCTATAGCAGTAATAAAATAATATGCAAGCTAAAACCTGACTATCCTACTGGGAATAGGCCGAATGGAATGGGTAATAGTCCGTTCTATGACTACTGCATCGATATAAGGTCGGCTGGAAACGCATTGTGAACGACCAACTTGTCTTAGTTATTGCCTGAGATAAGAATTTTGTTGGTATGACGACAGGTTGGTAGAACTATTAATTTTCGCCAACATGGCACTTTATAAAGCACGTGGCATCAGATCAAGCACGAGAAACTTGGGTTGGCACGGACAAGTAAATCGGGGGAATCGACAGAGTAACGAGAGAAATGACATGTGCGACTTTGCAACACGAAAGCGCATGACGATCGAGGGTTTGGCGCGCGCACAAATAAGCGGGAATTACATTAGTTTTGCACCTGCCGAGATTCGCAAGTCCTTTTTGATAAGACGGATGAAGACAGTAAATTCGTCGGCAGTTAATAATTTGCTGCATCGCCGAAGTAGGTTTGTATACTGGTCACCTCCTGATGCTTCAGCAAGATCGTCCAACCAGGCATCCACCTGAAAACGGCAGTAACTGTCTAATAAAGTGGGTAAAAAGACCACAGGACAATAAATGGAGGCACAAATAAACCCGAAAAGCTCCTGTAAAGGAAATAACAAAAGCGTTGGTGGTGTCTTTTCGTTTATCAGTCAACTTTTGTGTAGCTAATTGCCTTTTAAATCTCTGAGGGCGATGTAATGCTTAGTGGATACGATGTCTTCAGAGCACGGGTTGTGTGTGTTGAAGCTGCAGCTGCACTACCATGGTGGTGTAGGGGAACTTAAACTTCGAATGTTGCGCAGGTACTGCTTAAGCTATAAAAATATGTATGAGGCTACTGGTTCATTAAATATGACAATTGGGAGTGCGTGAAGACGCAGAACTGTTACGTCAAGTGAAATGATAGATAATTATCTTACCGTTCGCAGAAGGACAGAGCAGCAATCAGCTGGCCTTATGTGTTTACTCCGAATAAAGAACTTGCACAAAGTCGCTGCAACATCACCCTGAATAGAATATTTCAAAAGGTGGCAAAGAATACTTTCTCTAGGTCCTCAAGCATCGCTTCCCGCGAGATCATAAATATATCCGAGAAATAATTCACCAACTGCTTGTCTTTTATGTTATAAATTCTAGACGATATCGCAGGAAGTAACAGTTTTAAAACAAGAGCAGTTTCATTGTGTAAGGAACCTAGATAATAAATATTACTTCAAAATTCGTAGTTACCGTTAACGCCTTGGTGAACAAAATTCGAAACTATTTCTGACTTCCGCTTATGGCTACTGCAACCCGACAACCCATTGACAAGTTCTACAAAACCTTCAAAAGTCATTTCTTAAGTAACGTGATGTCAAAGACAAATTATGCCAAACAACCTTGATCCTCATAAGACATAATTGTAATGATATGTCTACAGCAGATATCTCGGGCTATTATGCGAAAAAGATCGGAGCGTTGAACAGTAGTGGGCGTGCACGTCCTTGAATAATTTGTAACAGAGTAAGCGCAGAGACCAAAAATGTAGATAAGTTTAATGTCAAGCCTTTCCCTTTTTATACTGCATTCATATAGGGGATTGGATTTCTACACCATATGCAGTCAACACCTAACACCAAAGTCAATTTTACACAACCAATCAAATAACCAAGTATAACATTCTCAGGAAACAGGTACTCTCTGAAGAAGAGCACCAATATTCTCAAAATGAAGCATTGACATGCCTAAAAATAACTATAAATAACTGTTGCTAAGTTCTTCTTCCATACCCCAACCGGTATGTCTAACGACACGGGCTACCTGACTCAATCGAAATGTTCCGGAATAGCGGGATCTGAAAATTCTGGCTGTTTATTATCCACTAAAAATGACCTCTAAGCTGACGGTCGTCTGCTGGATGGGTAAGAAAAATTCGTCAGACCACTTGGCTCTTGATCATGGGTATGCCGACACATGAACCCATCTCCAGAATGGGCAACACCTGGGTTAGGCACGACCCTGGCCCAGCCACATTTAATAAATTTTCCGGATTATTGCATAAGCAATCCCGCGTTTCAAGTTGTCCATTCAACCGCTAACATAAATTGCATTTAGGCCGGCCTGCCTGAGATTACCTCTAGAAAATAGCCCTCATAGTCTAAATGTCCATTCAAGCAGTCATCCACGGTTGCACTGAATAAACCTCCTTGTCTATGTTAACCAACCGCAGGGCTCTTTTCCACTATAACTCCCCACGACTGGTATACAGTTGTTTAGATGAAGGAACACTTTTGGCGCGCGGACCTTGGATGGAGGTGGTGTAACAGCCTGTCGGTGAAAATGGCCGTCGTCCTTACCACTGTCGACCGCCGACCCCCTCCCCGCAACTTCACGTAATGTTCGCATTGCAGGCCCTCTCATTGCTGGCACCTTCCTCGGCCCTCCCCTGCAGTTGCCTACAGCGTTGCGTTTCCCACCGGTCATTTAGCTGGAATGTAGGTGTCGCCTTTCCATCCAGACAGGTTACTCCCCTGCAGTAGCTCATCCCACTTTTATAACTAACTACTATTGCATGTATTTCTAACTCCAATCCTTTCCTATTATTCCTTATCGATTAGTAGACGTCCCTTCATCCCTTACGTATAGGTAAGAATAGCGAAATACTAACAGCTCCATTCAGATCGTTGTTAGCCATTGCTTCGCTGCTTTGGTGCGTGCTAACCTTGACGTTCTCGGCCGCTGCACCGCCAAAACTGTTACACGCTGGTTATCGGATGTCGTCCAGCTTAACGTCGTCCTTGTGCCTTTCATAATGTGGTAAGTAATTTACTTCCATTTTGATGTTTGGTATTACTGCCTGCGCTAACTCCTGATATAAGTTAATAATTTAAACTATGGTGAGGCGCAAAGGGGTCAAATTGGCAAACGACACCCCTCACACCACACTAACTGCTCAGTATCTATTTATATACCCAATATATTTTTTATTGTTAATGAGATGTAGTTATGAAACACAAATATTACGGATTGCACGGGATCAACGTTTATAGTCGCATTCGACGTCAGAAGCGGGCTATTTATTTGACGAAGGAAGATCCCGATCTTGTCATTTCCTCCGCGCCATACTACTTCGGCTTTTACACCACCCCAACTGAAGCTCCATTTAGGTACATTTTCCACCTAATTAACCCACATCCCCATATGTACACTCAATCAATGGACACTAACCCATGCAAACAAATTTCGCCATACGCATCACCATATACTCCAAGAACCACACACTTGACTCCAGTTAGTCCATCAATCAATCAAAGTACCCTCAGCAATCCTTTTATTCACCACAGCCCACCTCCCCCATATCCGCCATCCTACAGATATCTGTTATAACTTTGAGATATATGATCAAGAAAATATCTAAACTAAGAACGTTTGTTGAAATATCTAACCCCGATAAAATTTGCATCAGAGAAACATGGACAAATCAACTTGTATCAAATGCTTCATTATATATCGAAAATCATAATTTCTAAGGACAGCACCGTGTTAGTAAACGAGGCGAACTGGCATTGAACAAAGTGATATTGATGCCCCAACAGCAAGCTATGCTGGAGAAGCGTGTTTTGCCATAACAAAAACTCAGGCCCAGAAAAACCTAATAGTCGGATGCCTCAACACCCTCCAAGAGTGTAGAAATGATGACACCCG